ACGGGCGCAGAGGCGGTGCCCCTCAGATCCTTGCGATTAAAAGCTCTTGACACTGCCATTGCTGTGGACAGGCGTGTTGCTTACCACCACGCTGAACTTGTTCGTCCCGTCACTTTGCCCCAAAAAAAAATCATTTTATGTATTGAAGGTAAAAGATACCTAATAATAATATTGTGCTATTGAATGAGAAAACACCCTCTCCCATTCAAAAATTCAAAATATAAAGATAATGGAAAAGGCGAGAATCTAAAATAGATGATGACAATAGATAATGAATGACCAATGGGTATTTTTAAGATTAGTTTCCTTTACCTAATTTCGGTGGCAATTTTTATTATTATAATATATTAAAAAGTATTTTTAAGAGGTATTATTCAATCTTCAACTGTACTAACTGAAATATTATTTAATATTTCACGATAATATACTCGAATATTAAAATAATAAAAATTACCACCGAAATTAATAAACGTAATCAGATTTCGCAACCATGGTATGTCCAACGTTAATAAAAAAGAAACAATTATGGAAACATATTTGTTCATAAATATACGAATTGTTAACAACGCTATTCACGGAAAATATTGTCGCAATGCAAATTCTTTTATAATGTGTGTACATACTGGCTCTGACATCAATTACTTTTGTCTGTGATAGCATTACGTCTCTACTTGTATACTACATGGACAATATATAGGTGGCTTATTTTAATTATAGACGGTTTAGGACACCTACCTTTTTTTACGATACCAAAAGGGCTAGCACGACAGGGCGCGACTGGCGCGAGAGCCACATAATGCCACGCGCAACACGCTGCCGTCCAGTGGCAAATGGTCAAATATCCGTTTTAAATAAAAAAAAATGGAGCACAAAATTCTCTTTTAAAAACACTTCAAATTAGTTATCGTGTTGGACTTATCGGAACGTACTCTAACGATGCATAGCTGAAATATCACTAAACAATTTCATTATTCTAAAACTGGGTTACGGTTTTTTTATGATATCTCAAAAAAATATTTTGTCACTTAGTTTTAGTCAGCGGACGGCAGCACGCCTGTCCATACAGTTGCAGTACCATTCAGAAATATTAAATCACAAAGATCGGAGAAGCGCTGCCACTGCGCCCGTCACCCTGAGACATAACGTCGCCTTACTTTTTCAAACTCGTATCTTAAAGCGTAAAGTTACTGAAATGCAAAAATGGATTGTATATACAAATTTTACAGGCTAACTTCACATCACATTTCCTTCATATTCACACATTTTCTTTTACCTATTCTTAAAATAAAGCATCCAAATTAACATCCTTGATAAGAAATTTAAAATAAATAGAAAGTTTTGCCATCTCCTGAATAATCCGTTATAAGACACGAGTTTGAGAAAGTAAGGCATCGATATGTTGACAAACCCCATGTGCTACAGGCACATTTCACCATACCTTCCACCAATAAGAACAATTTTGTACTATGTCACATTAAGAGGGTCTCTATAGTAAAATGTGTGCGTATTTGTAAAATACGATCTCTCTTAATATGCAAAGTCTTAATTTAAGATGTTTAGCGCATGAACTCAAACAACTTTTAATACGGATGTTGAAATAGCGACAATAAAAAACAGCAGCTTACTTGAAATAATGTGTGAAACACAAAAAATACACATTTTTACTATATATAGTAGTAATTGACATTTGGTGTTAAGCGACACGCCTGTTCGTAGCAATTGCAATGCCATTCAGATTTTAAATCGCAAAGATCTGATCACTGCGCCTGTTATCCTGAGAGTTGACAAGTCCCATTTTCCTGCAATTTCACCAGCACCCTTCAAAACCGGAACGCAGTAATGCTGACATCACTACTTTGCAGCAGTAATAGGTAAAGTGCAGTACTCCCCTGGACAAACTCTTTCACAATGAGCCCTATTGCTACTTGCTACTAAATGTATGTCTATGGTTTCGTGTACTAAACACGGTGAAATGAAAATGTCACCCTTCGTTTAAATTTGAACTCATAGCCTAGCACAATTCAACTTTCATTATTTTATTATCTTTTCTAATTTAATTAACTGCTATTTTGGCATATAAAAATTCGTAAGTGAACAGATTCACTTTATCTGTAGTTCAGTTGGTAGAGCGGTCGCCATGGTATGGCACAAACGCAGATTCGAGCCCTGTTAGATCGCAGAAATTTTTGTATGTTCGATCTTTGTGTGATAATTTAAATTTAGTAAATAAATTGTTTCATTATTAAGCCCATCAAATAATCTGGAGTCAATGTTTCGAAGTTCTCTGACGTTGATGTCTTTTACACGAAAATGGCAATTGTCGTTTTTGTGTAAAAGACATAAACGTGTTTTATACTACAGCACGTATTTAATAACGTATTTTTATAGACTTTAAGGTTCGATTTTTCCGTACAATTAAATATTCTATGTAATCGTAACTGGTGATTAATTCTACAAATTTGTTACAAAAGCTGAGTTTTAAAGGGATGACTGTTCCTTATGACGTCATAACCTTTGAATACAATGGCATGGAATTTAGGTAATGTGTAAATAGTTTATTTATACGTTGGATAGAATACCATCTTAGTTCTAAACGAAACTTCAAAGAATAATTTAGGTACGATAATAAGTATGTACTAGGATTTTAACAAAGTTGTGTATTTTTAAAGCCTTATGTTTAGTTAATAATTTAGTCGATGTGGAATAGATCGTGTGTATTAGATGGAGCGTAGTGAGGTGTTGTGCCGCCAGAATATCGAGGCCGCTCTGCGGGACGTTGGTGCTTACAGCGACTTACTGCAACTGATACTTGTAAGTTTTTTATTTTCGAAATATCTCAACACTTCTATAAAGATGATGTGGCCAGTTTTCACCGTAAAACTACTCATGTAAAATCAAGCAAATAGGAGATTTGTAAAAAAAATCAGAAAAATATATTTTTAAGCAATGAATGTAAAGAAAATTCTGTTCATTTGTACCGTTTTAAAAATGTTATAATTATTTTTATGGGAATATTTATAGAAGATATTTGCTATTAGAAGATAGATGCTCTAAATGCGAAAAGGTTCAGATCAAATAAACTTCGAATTTACTTTCTTTGAAAGTTTTCCAATGTAAGCACATAGCCTCATTAGTAGTAATTAACCGACTTCAAAAAAAGGAGGAGGTTCAATTGGGCTGTAAACATACATTTTGTATGTATGTTACGCGAGAACTCTTATATTTATAAATGTTTGTGAACCAAATTCGATGATGATGATTTTTGTTGGAAAGAGTGTACCTCAGTAAGTGGTCCCATATAAATTTTAAGAAAATATTTCACCCTCAAGTGTGGCAAACTAGGGGATGAATGACTTTTGACGTCGGTTTTTTTAGTACTCTGTACTGATATTATGTTGCATATGACTTCGGTCGACTGTATTCAATTTAAATTTAATTCAATTTATATCAAATTTAGGTTTGACAATACCTCTTTTTACGGGTTTCGTTTTGTGCGGTCATACGTACTACCGTAAACTTCCACTATGAGTAGGTACCGTCACTTTTAATTATACTCAACGTATATTTACACACATGTTACTATTTATTTGTCATATGTAATGTTCCCTTCAATAAGTCCATAGACTATTATTTCTGCCTCCCACTGGGGTAAGCAAATTATAGGCACTAGAATTAAATAGTAAATATTCAGTCAATAAAAAATTGATTTAGAAATTATAATGATGGAAGAAGTACATCGTTACGTCTTCGTTCATTGAAACATTTTCTCATTTTTCTGCATTTTAAACTAATATTATATTTTATGTTTTTCCTAAAACTTCGGTTTCATGTGTTTCATCCCGATCATAACCAATACCTTAAAAGCTAAATATTAAGTAAGTAGTATGGTGTAATTTACTGTTGTCCTGGAAGTTTGGGAGTATACTGGTTATAATAGGAAGATTTTTTTTAAACATTTATATATGTTTTTTAGCGCGTTAACTTAAATATGTTACCTCCGAAAGGACATGATTCCGCTCATTAATACGAACATTAGCGAGCGATACGATAGTAGAGCGATACGAGATCGCATTAAACCGCAGAAAAAAGCTTTATATCCTTGCAATAAAGTAAAAAAGACATACATTTCGCATCGCAGGTCTCCAAGCAGTACCAAATCGACTTGAGCTAAGTTGACTTTGCATTATTAAGTGTGGTTACTCCCAAAGTCAACTAAAATATATGAAACATCTGTTTTAGTATTCAACGTGTAATGACATTTACTCTCATATATGCTGTCATTGCACTGTGATATTTGTTGTCATTTCAACTTCTATTTGTCGTATATAGATTTTAAGACTTTCGTGGTTATTCACTAGATGATTATCACTAAGATCAGGTTTCTTACCACGGTATGACTTCTTCAACCCGTGACCATGGAGCGTGCAACCGTTCCGAAATATCGGGAAAATAAAAAGAAGTCATACCGTAGTAAGAAACCTGATATTAGTGATAATTATTTATTATATTCCACACGCAAAATAGGCGCCTTGACGTCGAGTTGCGGACACCAGCCCGTTGCACCAAGTAAGTACCAAGTAGTGATAATTATCTTCTATTTATCATGTCATTTCAACTACTATTACTAATGCATTATACTGTACTACAGCATACATTAATAAGTATGCTATGCAAGTAGTCAGATTATTTTCAGTATTATTGTGTCTACGGATAGCATTAATTATGATTTATGGTATTGATTCATTCTATTCATAGCCGTACACCTATTTTATAAAGGATTTATAGTAATTTAAACAATGCTTTATGCTTGGATTGACTTATGTATTCCAGGAAGTTAACAATCTTCAGAAGCCAAGAGATTACATGAAAACAATTTTAAAAACAATACTAAGTCTGAGTATTTATAGCAGCAAGCAAAATCAAGATCGTTTGGTCGTTCTACAACTTAAGTAAAGGTGTGCTATGCGCGGGCGCAGCGAGTGACGTGTCTCTTCTCACTTCTCTTCCTTCAGTAAGCCGCGAGACGTTGATAGAGGCACACCTGCGCCGCGCTCTCTGATTGCGAATTTTTGAAAGTAATCATCATTAATTGGTGTTTTGAACAGTGTGAAATCACGTACTTTTAGTAACACAACATAACGAGTTAGCATTCTTTAACAGTCGGTTTAATAAACATTTCGAAAGCTTCAAAGTCTTGTATTTGAGCAAGGACAGTGTTTTGAAAGTTCTCATTGGAGGCATATATTAAGCGAAAAGTGTTTTTTTTTTTTGGTAAAATTCTTGAATTCCGGATTGTTGCGTGTCTGAACGGATACAATAGGTAAGTCGAGTGATTTGACTGATTACAACAGTCGGAACTAATTGCTTTTCGTCAGGTGAGCCTGGGTTGAATTGCATGCGGCTGAAGCGGTGCAAATTGCGGGTGAAACAAGAAATCCGCTGTTCCGTGGGTCGTAGATTCTAACGGCGTTAGTTTCTTGTAATAATATAGGTACGATATTTCGTAGCCACATTATTTCTCATTTTATCTTTTTATTGGTATGATAACCAAGCAGCATTGTGTCAAAATAAGTTTACAAATTAACGTGTTACAATTCTTTTTTGTAAATTCAGCCTTACGACAGATACCTAAGGTTTCAAATTGGCAATTAATGAAAGTATAAGTATGTACCGAGGCTCTTGTTCACCGTTGAAAAGTTTTTAGCGATTTTCTAGTCACAAAATTGATGTGAATTAAGTGGTACCAATTTTGTTTTTATTAACCAACATGAAAAAGGAGGATGTTTTCAATTCGTCTGTATTTACTTTTTTTATTTGTGTATGTTACGCGTTTAATCCGACATTTGTGAACCAATTTCAATGATTTTTTTTTATTGGAAAGGGAATACGTCAGTAGTGATCCCATTCAAATTTGAAGAAAGTATTCTAAAATCTAAGAGTGGCAAATTAAGGGATTCGGTTTATTGAATTTCTTCCACTTTCCGTCAACCGTCAATAAAACTTGGCACAATCGATGTAATTCTAATGAAAATAAAACAGCGAAAACGAATAAGCAATTTTTAAGCCTTTTTTAAGAAAAAAAGTTACAAATATTAGTGTTGTCATTGGTGATAATAGCCTAGCATTGTGTGTCAAAATTATGAATACTGATGAAGACTTCTAACAGACCCTACGTCAACTCATGATATTATTTAAATTTATTACACCAGTGGTTAAATAAATCGTAGGCTAGAAACTTATTTTTTTATATATTTAAAAATACAGCGATATGCACATTTCGATGGAACAAATTATGAGTTCGTGTTTTATGGCAACACAGAAGTAAGACAAATTGAAATCCTTATTTAATGTTCAATTTATTAATTGAACACCAGCGTTAGTCCAGAGTGGTTTTTTTTTAATAATACCAAGCGACAGGATGAATTAGTCGTGCGCCTGGTGATAAGCGACACGCCTATCCAAAACAGTTGCAGTGCCAGAGCTTTTAATCGCAAAGTTCTTATGGGCATTGCCACTGTCCCCGTCATCCTGAGACATACCTTGATGCGTCCCATGTGTCTGTAATTTCACCAGCACTCTTAGCCTTCGAAACCGGAACGCAGTAATGCTCATATCGCCGCTTAGCGGCTGAAATAGGTAAGGTGGCAGTACTTCCCTGGACGAACTCGTTTGCCTTTAACCATTTCTTTACAGTAGTCTTACTTAGCAGCGTACAGATTCATAGTAGTGAAGATTGACTAATTATATAAGGCTAATTCTAAAGTATTATAGACCAGAACCCCAAAGAATGACTACAGAAAGCACATAAATGCAGACACAGCGGTGACAGTTAAATAAAAAACCGTAATAAAACTAAAAATATATCAGCTCTGTAACGTCTCTACATAACATTTAATAAGAAATGTGATACGCTTATACTTTAATACAGTTAGTTATAAAACTTATAAATTGCCGTGGTAGCTTTAGGCGTCGTCCTATGCCAAAAAGCGGGTGTCCTAATAGATAATCGCGCGAGCCCGTGTTCGCGCGATCATGAGTGACGCTTGCGGTAACGCAACGCGAGTATCTATAGGATACCTATGTTGGATCGTGCGTTCGTACGAACTAAGTTCGCGCGAATAGATTTCAAACATTATAAGCAATTAGGACACTACTCGAGACCTATATGTTTGATCGCAGGTTCGCACGAACAAAACTCGCGCGAACTTGCGAATAAGACGACTCACGGTTTGACCTATTGCCTCTTAAGCAGAGGTTAATTTGAAATTTGCTGCAAAGCAATGTGTGTGAAGTTCTCAATCCGCAGTGGGCCCGCGTGGGAACATTAATATTTAAAAAATATATTATTTTATAATATTAAGTAACGGGATGAACAAGTTGTGTGTCCGATGGTAAGCTACTATATAGGAGCACTGCCACTGTGCCTGTCACCATGAGACATAAGTTGACAAGTCCCATGTGCCTGTACCCGGAACACAGTAATGCTGACATTATTCCTTGGCGGCAGAAATAGATAAGGTAAGGCAGTACTACCCTGGACGAAATCTTTCACAAGGAGCTCTACTGCTACTAAAAGATTATAATGTAGGCTAGCTATTATTTATTTATTATTAAAAACCTTGAACAACGAAGTTAAGCCTAGTTTCACATGGATTTGAATGTTTGAAGAAGTATAAATGAATACATTAAAACTAAATATACAGACGCCTAATGAGTTGCTTAGCATGAAACTGTTCTATATAAATTACTTTAAGAGTTCTATGCTTATTCATTTGACCTTCTTTTCTTATGTACGTGTGGAACGCGAACACAAAGCGGTCTTAATACAAAACACTTCATAAAACCTGTTTGTAATAATATTCGGCGATCTTGTCATGTGTTTTATTTAAATTTAAAACAGGGGAAAGCTGAAATTTGGAATTTTGTAGAAAGTATTTAAAAAAAATGATACAGACTGTTATTATGAGCAGTCCTAGATAATAAACTAATTTAGGTAGATATCGTAAATAATATAAAAAGGTGTGGTAGTCTAATGGTTCTACCTACCATCGTCGTCAAATCGCAAAGATCTTATGGGCACTGCTACTGCACCCGTCACCCTGAGACATTAGTTGATAAGTCACATGTCTCTGTAATTTCACCAGTACCCTTACCCTTCCAAACTGGAACTCAGTAATGCTCATATTATTGCTTGGCGGCAGAAATAGATAAGGTGGCAGTCAGAGGCGGCTCGTCCTAAGGAGCGCTGGTGCCGTGAACTCCCACTCCTATCCAACCTACTAAAATAAATTTATTAATTATGCTTTCAGATTATATTAGTAGCCGCAGTATTATTTTTTATTAATGAACGATAAACATACAATTAGATTTTTATCTTTCTCTTTAACATGTATAGCATACATACCCTTGAGTGGAGCGCTTCGCGATCCTATGAACCGACATTGTTTACAATGTTCAGTACTGAATTCTATAAGTGCGAAAGAGAAATTTCTTAACAGCGCGACACGTGAAACAAAAGATTAGTATGTTATATATTAGTACAAGGAAAGAAAGATTTGAGCGGCGCTCCACGCAAATAATGTAAGCGTATTTTTTCCGCGCGCGTTTTGTTGTGTTGTATAAATTCTTATTATTCAATCGTTGTTAAGAAGCGTAGTGTTTAGTGGCATTGTTTAAAATGGAACACTGTAATGTGGGTCTCATTTTTTAAAATATATAAAATATATAACCATGTGGCAAGCAATAAAGATATGAATATGAATATGCATAGGTAAGTGAACTCTCACTGAAATCTCCCACGAGCCGCCTCTGGTAGCAGTACTTCCCTGAATGAATTCTTTCACAAGGAGCTCTACTGGTACTAAAGCTCTTCTCACGTCTCGTAAGTTTTTCGGAATTTATGTGCGATTTAATTTATTTTTCGGTGAAAGAACACAATATCGTGGTGTAACCTGCACGTCGAAGAAGGTCCACAATCACAACACTCGGAAGACGTGTAAAGAACCTAATCCGCAATGAGTTAGCATGGTGGACTATGGCCTAAACCCTCGCCTGATGATCGTAAATACCAGTGGCGAATTTGCAGTCTTGACCGCCCTGTATGTAGTCAGTACCAGCCGCCCCTTTCTCAGCACTCATATACCTACTGGTAGACATATCTATATTTTATAAATAAAACGAAAGGGATTTAGGAAGATTATTGTTATACGAAGCTGTGCAGTGCGGCCCGCCATAATGTGCGTGAGCCTTTAAATATTTAGGTACTTTAAGTTCTTTCTTGTTATCACTGAATTTTTTGTCACGATTGGCCGCCCCTAAAATCTGGCCGCCCTAGGCCCGGGCCTTGGATGGCCTTAGGGCAAATCTGCCACTGGTAAATACGTAGAAAATTTCGAGACGAAATAAATTTACATTAACAATAACATTAATAATAACGTGACAGATAATCACACCAATAACATTATTAGTGTGGTTATGTATATATTTTTTCTATTCACATGTAAGTGCGCATGCGTGACGATGAGGTCGACGAGAGAGCCTTGAAAAGGTCCAAGTTATAACGTTCAGGGAACAAGTCTGCAGGCAGGGAATTCCACTCCTAACCGTTCGCCATATAAATGTGGAAGCGTAACACTTCGTGCGAATCTTTGGAATATCCACAACATAGGGGTGGAATCCAAGCCTACGTCTAGTCCCTCGATGATGGAAAGGCGAAGGCGGAATTAAATCATGTAATTCCGTCGCACACTCTCCGTGATATATCCTGTAAAATGTCGATAAACAGGCAACTTTACGGCGGTGTTCCAGGCTCTGCAGCTTCGCCTCTACTAATTCCGAGTCACATATAAGTATCTTGGCACGCTTGTCAATTGAATAAAAGGTGGCCAGGTTGGTGTGTAGCAGAGCCATCCCAAAGGTTGCAGCAGTGCTCCATCCGTGACCGGACTTGTGCTTGATACAGCAGAAGCAACTGTCCCGGTGTGAAGTAACGCCTTACCCTGGAAATAATGCCGGGTAAGGTAAAGTGACGGGACGAACAAGTCGTGCGCCTGATGGTAAGCTACACACCTGTCCATAACAGTTGCAATGCTACTCAGAGCTTTAAATCACAAAGATCTAAGGGGCACTTCCACTTCGTCTGCGACAAAAGTTTACAAGTTCCATGTGTCTGTAATTTCAACAGCACCCTTACTCTTCAAAACCGGAACGCAGTAACGCTTACATTACTGTTTGGCGGCAGAAATACATAGGCAAGATGGCAGCACTTCCTTGGACGAACTCTTTCACAAGTGCTCTACTGCTACTAAATATTAGCATATA